GCAGCCCAACCTCCCCAATTAAAAATTGTTTTTTTTTCATTTTTTTTTGTGTGAGGGGGTGGGGCCGGGGTTGCTCCGCCCCATGGAGCTTCCCGAATCCCCAACCCCCCTCCCCTCTGGCCACCACGTGGCGTCAAAGCCGCGTGTCCGCGCGGACACGTCCGCGGGGTCGGTGGACTGGCCGCGTCCGCGGAATCGGCCGCGCTTGGCCGCCACCGAGGGGGATTCATAGCCCACCCTCGACTGTCGTCTCCCCACCCGAACTTTAGTGGGGCCACCCCTTCATCACCACTGCTGTCCTTCACTTCAATCACATTATCATTGTTGCTTGTTTTCCCCACCTCCATATGCTTGTCTACCTTCTCCTCTACACTGTCCTTTGCACTGTCATTTGTTTCATTATCAGCCCTGTCGTCTTCATCCACGCTGCCCATTCTGTCATCCTCTTCATGCCTCGCTTCACCCTTGTCCTCATTGTCGTCAGCGTTCACATCCTCATCGTCGTCCTCCTCGTTCTAATCCTGTCCGCTTCGTCGTTTCATCGTCCACTCCGTCATCTCCATCACTCTCCGCATCCCTTGTGCCCCCCCCCTTGCTCTCTTTCTCCTGTTCACCAACATCCACAAGATCCTTCACTCCCTTCTCCTCATCCTCCACCTTTTCGTCCCCCTGGTTCTCCTCATCCTTACCCCCAACTCCACGCCTCTTCCCTACTTCCGCCTCGCGCCCGTTATTGTCTTCATCCTCCATCTCATTCTCGTCTGAATCCTTGTCACCTTTGCTACCATCCTCATCGTCATCGTCGACATCCCCATCATCCTCAACGTAGTCACCGATATCGTCATCGTCGTTACCGACACCCCCATCGTCCTCACCGTCGTCACCTACATCGTCATCGTCTTCGGCGACATCCTCACCGACGTTGTCTTCTTCCTCACCGTCCGTCACCGCACGGAGCTTCATGTTTTTTGTCACTTCCCATCCCAGCGACGTCATCATTGTCACTATCTGGAACACAAAAAACACCCAGACTGTCATTCTCATCACCGAACAGCTCGCATGTCTGGAATTGTGCACGAACAGGCTCCACAAGGGTGTCATCACGAACATCACAGTCCACTGACGACCGCACACCACCAGCCAACAAAGGCGTTTGGCATTTTCAGGCATTGTGCTCGGGCAATTTGCAGGTGGTGCACCTCTGCGGTGCAGTTCTAGGGAGCCGCACCATCCCTCCTTCCAATGCACTGCGAAGACGATGTCCTTTCGGTGGGCGACCCTTTCTTTGTGCTGTCGGTGGAGGAAGAAGAATGTCCTCACCGTCATCAAGCACTGCACTCGAGAAACATGTTGGGTACATGACACCGTCGTAGGAGGCCTTCAACGCTTGCGTTGTGTAAAATTGCGCAACATAGTCTCCGATGTCCTCCCCACGTGACATAATAGCGGCTGCAGTGTGTGAGCAAGGACGGCATATGTCTTCACAAAAGTCACACGTGCAAGATTGGCGGCGTTCCTTCACGTGACTGTACTTGCTCACTTCGTAGACCGCATCGTCGGCTTTTCGGACAGAGTACTTTCATGCCTTGGCCCTTGTAACTGTCATTACGTTTTCCACACAATCCGAAAAGCGGTTGATGTAGCGACACGCAGCATCCCTCCTTTTGGTGTACCATTTTTGAAGAAGCTGTCAGTAGTCCTCGATCAAGGGGATTGCAGTCTTCTCACAAGCCACCATAAGTCTGCTGTTCATTGACTCCGCAACTTCTGATATGACTTTTCCATAACGCGGGGCCTTGAAGTGGGGACCTACCCAATCTCGTGCTTCTGCTTTCTCATAAATTTTTTGCTCAATGTCCGACTATGTTACCGCGCGTTCATTGAACGCGCGTTCCGCGTTCAGTTTATGAATGCAGTGAACGCGCGTTCACTGAACGCGCCTGAATGCGATTGACGCGTTTGCGCATGGGGCTGTGAGGGGTGGGGAGGGCCTTTGGGCAGTGTGGGGAGTGTCGGCGGTGCTTGGGGGGGTTGTGGGCAATGTAGGGAACGGCGGTGCTGCTTGGGGGGGTCTGTGGGCTAATGCCCCAGACAAGACAGAAAAAAAAAAAGAAGTGTAAGTATGTGTGTTTGTGTGTGAATGTTCCTTTTTTTTTTTTCAAAAGGGGGGTGGGGGAATCCCCCTAACACGGCTCAGACGGCCCATGCAGGCTTTCTGAAGGGGCCTCGCAGCCATATGGCGCAGTCCCCCCCACCAGAATGAAGGCAGCCAGTGGATATGACAGAGAGGAGGAGATGGCCGAATAAATACTCACAATTCGAAATCAAGTCTGTGTTTCAGCAGTTATGGGTTGCTCACGTAGCCAGGCCTGCACGCGATTCTCAGGGCTTGGCTGCACTACTCACCAAATGTGCAAAACTAAATGAACCTTCTGCAGAACGTGGAATAATACACCGCCATACGTTTTTTTTTGTTTTTTTTGTTTTTTTTTTTTCTTTTGTTTTTCTTTTAGGGCCACTTCACGTATTCCTAAGAAAAGAAAAAAGAGAAAAAAAAAAAAAACGAGAAAAAAGATAAACGATAAAAACGAAAAACAAAAGAAAAGAGAAAGGAGAAAAAAAAAGACAAAACATATGGCGGCGTATTATTCCACGTTCTGCACAAGATTCATTCTAGTTTTGCATATTTGGTGAGCAGTGCAGCCAAGCCCCGTGCATTGACCAACACGGCCTAGCTACGTGAGCAACCCATAACTGCTGAAACAGAGACCTGAATCTGAATCTTGAGTATATATCAGGCCTGCTCCTGCTCTCCTTCATGTTCACTGCCTACCTTGATTTTGGTGGGGGGATCTCCGCCACACGGCTGCGAGGACCCTTCAGAAAGCCCGCATGGGCCGTCTGAGCAGTATTAGGGGGAATCCCCCACCCCCCCATGAAAAAAAAAAAGGAACGTTCACGCACACACACACACATCCACATACTTTTTTTTTTTTTTTTTTTTTTTCCTGCTGTTTTGTCTGGGGCATTGGCCCACAGCCCCGCTCAAGCAGCGCAGCCGCTCCCTATGGGGTGGTGGGCCTCCTGTTTTCTTTTTTTTTGAACTTTTGTGGTTTGTTGAACGAAGCCCTCCACCCCGTTGTCCGCAACGCGCACACCCTCCCCCCGGTGTTGCGTTCAAATTTTTCGCGCCACGTGGCGCGCAGCGCGTTTGAACGTGATTGAACGCACCCCCGGGGGGGTATGCACGCGCGTTCAGCCAGTTACACAGATGTCCGGGTCGTTGTACAAAAGCCTGATGCGGTCCATGAAGTGGTTAAGAACTTGTTTGAAGTTCGTCAACGCAACCATCATGACGAGCTTGTCAAACCCCTTCTTCTTACGCATTCGCTTCAAAAGGTTTCCTGTCACATGGCGCACACAGAATGCATGGCGGTCATCTTCAAAAACCTCTGCGACAAATGGGACCAGAACATGTCATGTAAATGTTGAAGAAACCATCGCTAATGGGTCTTCTTCTCCCCGTCCACGATAGCGAAGCCAATTGGAAAGCATTGCCCGTTGGTGTCCCTCCCCGTCGCCCCAAGGAGCGTCATCTTGTGCGGGCCACGAGTATGTGCCCCGTCCAATACCACCAGTGCCTTACAATGCTTGAAGCGCGTCACTGACGCTCCGAATGGGAAGAACACGCGGTAGAATACGTTCCCTTTGCTTTGCTGATCGATAATGGAGTTTGGATTCATTTCGCGCACGACCCGACAATACGTGCGCAGTTGTGCATACCCTTCCTCGGCTGCTCTGTCTTGTTCAACGAGCCCCTTTCTGAGGGCACGCTGACAGTTGTCATAAGAGAGTGGTTTTTGCCTCGACATCAAACCAATCCTGCAAACCCTTTGCAGTCACGGTCCCACCTTCCCGCAACTTTTTTTGCACCATCAGGTACACCCACCGCTGGCTGGCTTGTTTGTTGCGACCTTTGCGTGTCATGGGCCCTTTGCAGCCAATGCGATGTCTGCTCAGTTCCACGATTTTGGCACCCCCTCCCCCCCTAGGAGCCGTGGCCTTCAACGCCCAACTGCAATCGGGTGTCTCGTACACGACGTGGTACAACATAGGGGACGAGCACAGTGTCTGAGTGTCTTGAACTCGAATTGTGTCGCCACAACACCAAACAGCACTGCGTCCCGCAACGCTGTCATAGAAGGATAGGAGTCCCCTAGGCGTAACGGCCGCATTTCGTCAGTGTCCACGCAGCAAGTCGGAGGTGTACCACATTGCTTGACCTCCGGGCTGTTGTCATCGCCGTCCGATGAGAACGCCTCGTCATCTGATGAATAAAACAACACCAAGTGGTCCATGGCACTGCGCTTCCGAGATCCCGCAGAACACTGACTTTCATTGATATCACTGACATCACAGTCGTTCGGAGTGAAAGGTCCAACGGTTGGATTCCTCGAGTCCTCGAACCGCTGGATGCAAGCAATATCTTCCTCGTCGTCGTCGACATTTGCTGTTTGCACACCATCATCGTGCGAACAGTCCATGATATCAGGCACAGTGCCCAAGTTCGTAAGGTCACAGTCGTCACGCATCGGTGGTAATTGTTTGCCAGCACCATGGATCGTACCTGGTGGGCGACCTGTGGTTCTACTCTTGAGCGACGGACGGGGGTCTCGTTCTCCACATGCGGGTGTTATACTTTCAAACAACACACGACGTTCATATGCGTTGGACGACTGTCAGCGACCGACAGGAGAAAGATAGCGTCTGGCTGATCGGTGCATCGGACCAGTTGTCGCCGCAACTTGTCGGAGGCTCTGGAGTACTTAAACCTGGGGCGTAATATCATCGTCAATGCCCTCCATGGCAGGACTTCGGGGGGCAATTAACGCGTCATTGCCCCCGGTAAGCAGTGCCCTCCATGGCAGGACTTCGGGGGGCAATTAACGCNGGGGGCAATTAACGCGTCATTGCCCCCGGTAAGCAGTGCCCTCCATGGCAGGACTTCGGGGGGCAATTAACGCGTCATTGCCCCCGGTAAGCAGTCATATGACTCATATGCTGAGTCAGATGCGGCCCGTGACACCCAATCACCATGGGCATTGTAGGGGGCCTCCAAATGACTTCCGCCCCCATCAATATATGCTTCTCCAGGCGCAGTTTGTCCACGTACCGTTGGACACGGAGGGCCGGTGAGACCACTACCCCTCCACACGGAATGTGGTCCACTAAACAGCATGACATTGGGTGGGCGTGTTGGGGCCATGTTGTGCACGCGTCCAAGGATGTCAGTGTTTGCATAGTGATGTGTATGTGGTGTCAGCCAAGGTTGTGTGAACCGATCCCCATACCTGTTTTGGCTATACGACACAGTTGCCGATGGGAACGGATGAGGCTGGTGGTGTGCATTTTTCACATTGCTGGGGGAAAATGGCAAGAAAGGGGATGGTGGAGGGGCTGCAGGATGTGGAATCCCATAGGGAGGTAACCGTCTTGCCATTAATATGTGGTCAGGGGGGTTTCGAATTGGGGCCAAGGTCGTACGGGCGGCAACGAATGAAGAAGAAGGGTGAGGGGATTGGTGTGGTCCCTCCATGTCGTCACTGGTACGTGACGCGACGTGCGAGGTGATGCGAAAAATGCAATGGGTTTGATTAACTAAGTCGATAGAAAACGACAAATACTGTGGACAGGAAAGGATTGTCTGTGCAATATGTGACACACTTCTGTCGAACACAGACACTGCACATGACAAGAGATAAAAATGAAACAAACAACAAACCAACAAAAACAAAAAAGATAGCAAGGTACTCAGCCTGTGAACATCAAATGCAAGAATAAACAAAACGGATCAACAAGCAAGTACTAAGCCTGTGAGCGTCATTGCAATAACCAACACGTGCTTTCTTGTGCATAAGGAAGTCACCCTGCATGAAAAAAACTAAAACAACATTCGTTGCCTGGAGGACCGACCTTGACGACGAGCTGGGTCGGGGGTACGCCGTACTGTCTGAAAATAGAGAAATTGATCCACATGCACACTGTGAACAAAAAAAAAAAAAAAAAAATGCACACAACGCTGCCACGATCCAAACACAGAAAATTGGAGTGATAACAGACAAAATGCAAACACGCTTGAAATGAGAACAAATAAATCAGTGCACTTACATACGAAGAATGAAAAGCAAAGACAAGAAGAAAAGCAGATACGACCAGACCAGTTTTCTGGTGATGACATCATATTCTCATATCTGCTGAGATGCCATGGGATCATAGGTGATCTCAAGACATCACGGCTGATGACAGTACATCAGTTCAGACATTCAGACATGATTTGATGGCATCGGATGCCATCTTTTCGTGATGTCACGTGATCACAAACGTTGTGCTCAGACGTCTGAGCACTTTTGATGTCATGAAATATAATCTGATTACATGACATGTCATCAAAACAGATCTGAGGAGATGACATCTGATGCCATGACGAATATTTGGTTGTAAACTTGTACTCATTAACTTCCATGATCCATCATCTAAATTTCGTGCAGCGAGGAGTGTGACAGGGTTTTTGTAGCTTTGCAAAGGAGAAGGTTCCAGAGTGTTGGTACTTTATCCGGAACACCAACACGTTGGAGTCTGTGGGAGGTCACACACACACACACACACACACACACACACACACACACACACACACACACACACACACACA